TACTCTTGCATTTTGCTGAGAAAACCAGAAAGACAGACAATATAAAGTGACAGATTAGAGTACTACATGACAAAGGAGATGCCAGAAGTTCAATATGATTTTAGAAATGGCTGACAACAAGAGGCATTATTGAAGATGCACATTAGATAAGAAAACCAGAGTACAAAAAAAAAAGAAATCAATACAGTATATGTTTAACTGATTTTGAAAATCTTTCAATTGTGTTATCAAGCTGAACAATGCCTTAGACAGATGGGAATCTGCATAGCATCTCTTTGTCCTAGTGAGAAACCTATATCTAACTCTGCAAGTTCTAGTAAAGAAAATCCATAACAATAAAAATCTGGGACTAAAATTTAATCTGCAGAAGACCAAACTACCCTAAACGTGTTGTATTTAGCTGTATTATTCTCAACTGCCCTTAGTATTTTATACGCCCAAAAATTATGTTCAATTATATTGTGGCTTATTCAGCTTTTTTTCTAGGGTATTTATAAATCTGGTCATTTAAGAGCTATTCAGCTATTGCCATTGAGCGAACAAAATTTAGCATGTAACAGGAACTAATCACACCTAGTTCAATATCCTCAGAATATTCAGAAATCCCAGTATAATAAACTATCTACTACCAGTGAAAGGACCCAGAACATCAAAATAAATATTTAACAGGTTTTTTTTAAAGGCAATGAGATATTAATTTATTAATTAACAAAAAAGATAGGTTTTTCCTAGCAAAAAAAAAATCGATCACCAATCATGTTAGGAATATTGATCATGTGTGGCTTTCTTAACTATTTTTGAATAAAACCCAATTAACTAGGTTTATATAAATCACAACCACTGGCTTCACATAGAAAGTTAAGTCAAAATCAAATGTGTAGCAGGAGAAAAATTGATGAGAAAAGTTGACAACTTACAACAGTTCATTTAGTGACTGTTCTAAGTTATAATGGCAGTGGAAAAAATGATTTATGACCATTTTTCACACTTACGACCATTGCATTGCTGTCATCATGTGATCAAAATTTTGACACTTGGCAATTAGCTTATATTTATGACCGTTGCAGTGTCCTGAGATCATGTGATCATCTTTTGTGATCTTCTGACAAGCAAAGTCAATGAGGAAGCCAGATTCACTTAACAACTACAGGTGAAACTTGAAAAATTAGAATATCGTGCAAAAGTTAATTTATTTCAGTAATGCAACTTAAAAGATGAAACTAATATATGAGATAGACTCATTACATGCAAAGCAAGATAGTTCAAGCCGTGATTTGGCATAATTGTGATGATTATGGCTTACAGCTCATGAAAACCCCAAATCCACAATCTCAGAAAATTAGAATATTACATGCAATCAATAAAACAAGGATTGTACATAGAACAAGTATAAGCATGCATATGTACTCAGTACTTGGTTTGGGCCCCTTTTGCATCAATTACTGCCTCAATGCGGCATGGCATGGAAGCTATCTGCCTGTGACACTGCTGAGATGTTATGGAAGACCAGGATGCTTCAATAGCATCCTTCAGCTCTTCTGCATTGTTCAGTCTCATGTCTCTCATCTTTCTCTTGGCAAGATTCTCTATGGGGTTCAGGTCAGGCAAGTTTGCTGGCCAATCAAGCACAGTAATCCCACGGTCATTGAACCAGGTTTTGGTGCTTTTGGCAGTGTGGGCAGGTGCCAAGCCCTGCTGGAAAATGAAGTCAGCATCCCCATAAAGCTCATCTGCAGAAGGAAGCATGAAGTGTTCCAAAATATCCTGGTAGATGGCTGCGTTGACCCTGGACTTAATGAAGTACAGTGGACCAACACCAGCAGATGACAAGGCTCCCCAAATCAACACAGACTGTGGAAACTTCACACTGGACTTCAAGCATCTTGCAGTGTGTGCCTCTCCATTCTTTCTCCAGACTCTGGGTCCTTGGTTTCCAAATGAGATGCAAAAGTTGCTCTCACCAGAAAAGAGGACTTTGGACCACTGAGCAACAGACCAATTCTGTTTTTCTTTAGCCCAGGTAAGAGGCTTCTGGCGTTAGTTGTTCACGAGCAACTTGACAAGAAGAATACGACATTTGAAGCCCATGTCCAGGATCTGTCTGTGTTGTGGCTCTTGATGCACTGACTCCAGCCTCGTCCACTCCTTGTGAATGTCCCCAACAATTTTGAATGGCCTTTTCCTGACAATCCTCTCCAGGCTGCGGTCATCCCTGCTGCTTGTGCACCTTTTTCTTCCACACTTTTCCCTTCCACATAACTTTCTATTAATGTGCTTTGATACAGCATTTTGGGAACATCCAACTTCTTTTGCAATTGCCTTTTGAGGCTTTCCCTCCTTATGGAGGGTGTCAAGGATGGTTTTCTGCACAACTGTCAGGTCAGCAGTCTTTCCCATGATTGTGATTTTTACTGAACCTGACTGAGAGACCATTTAAAGGCTCAGGAACCCTTTGCAGGTGTTATGGCTTAATAGCTGATTAGAGTGGGACATTTTGAGCCTAGAATATTGAACCTTTTCACAATATTCTAATTTTCTGAGATTGTGGATTTGGGGTTTTCATGAGCTGTAAGCCATAATCATCTCAATTATGCCACATCACAGCTTGAACTATCTTCCTTTGCATGTAATGAGTCTATCACATATATTAGTTTCATCTTTTAAGCTGCATTACTGAAATAAATGAACTTTTGCACGATATTCTAATTTTTCGAGTTTCATCTGTATGTTACTTAACAACTGTGACAAGGTCATAAAATGGTCGCAAAATTCACTTAACTGTCTCACTTAGTAACAGAAATTTTGGGTTCCATTGTGGTCATAAGTCTGCTGTAGAATAGAAAAATATCCATGTTTGATTTTAGTACTAGCTTTAGATTAAAAAGCAAAAGTGTTTCAAAGATACAATCTGCCCTGCATGCCTCCTAAGTGATGACATATTACATGGGTAATATATAACATGGCTTTCTTTCACTTATCTTCAGCAAGATTGTAAAGAATAATTACTTTTTTACAAAAAAGTTTTGGATTTGTGACAGAGTAGACCCAGGGCAAGGAAAATGCCTATACTGGATCTACCACTGGTGACCTGTGGGCCTATTCTTAGTGATTCAAGTGTTTGGGTTAGGTGTGGGAGCCTGGCAGCAACTGGTAAGTCAGAAGAGGGCTCAAGAGGATTCATCTTGCAGGCATCTGGTAGAAAATAAAGGAACCAAAAACAAAAACTACAAGCAAAACATTAAAGGGAAAGTAAGGAAGTAAAAAGAAAGTAGAGAATATGAGTTATGGTTGGAATCCAATTTGGCCTGGAGTGGCTTCTGGTACCTATTAAATTTCTTGACACATAGGGGCTATAGTTTTCAGCGGGATTCTGCCCTTTTATCTCCTTTCTTGTGGGGCTCTATAAACCATGGATTGTCAGATAGACTGATACTTTCAGAGCAATCGCCATTTCCTGTCTCAGTTCAATCTTCTCCCTTCCGTAATTTTAGTAGTTCGTGCAAGTTTTTGGCGATAGAATTAACTTTCTATCATTATGCTATTTCCTAACTGAAGCTTGATTTTTTTTCTTTCATGCAAGTTTTAGATTCCTCAAGAATACTTTTTAAAATAAAGTTTCATAACTTCAATAATTCTCTACTACATGAAGCCATCAGCTTTCCAAGATTAAGATAGCAGAAATAACAGCCACAGACTAAAGAAGCTTCTTGTAAATAAGCAGAAAATGAAAAAAAAAACCCTTTCTTTTGAAATGCAATGCACTTCTTTACTCTAATAAAAGTATATCTTCAATAGGAAATGATGAATGTGTATCCTGCTCGGGTTTGTACCACTCCCGAACCTGCAAACAGATCTTTCCAAAAACGCTGTTTGTTTACTTAAGCAAGAAGGCAGGATGTAAATGAAATAAATTTACAAAATATAATACTTTATTGGCTGTGTGTGCATAGACACAAGGAATTTGTAATGTAAGCCAAGTAAATTATGTTAGGCTTTAGCGATATAAATGTCACCCGTCTGCAGAGTAATTATTCCCTCCTCTTCCCTCTACTATTGCAAACAGAAAGGGATGTCATTTATAGGTTTAGTTGTCTAATGCTGAAATTAAAGAGGGGCAAAGGAAAATTACACACTGCAACACACGGTTATCTCGTGTGCGTGCGTGTGTGTGTGAGAGAGAGAGAGAGAGAGAATAATGTTCAAAGAAATCAGAAATTCTTGCTTGTCGTTACAATGTATAATTGTGATTAGCAACAATTGTGAGGCCGATCCTGACCTCAGAGGTTTGAATTGGATTTCATTTTGCAATGTCTCCTGGTCTTTGTATAGTCCTTCCGGCCGATTTCTCAGCACATGCATTGAACTTACATAGAATAACAGAGTTGGAAGGGACCTTGGAGGTCATCTAGTCCCAACCCCCTGCTCAAGCAGGAGAGTCTATTCCACCCATTAGCCTCTAACCTAGGATCGAACTCACAAAAGCTCCTGATGGTGAAGCGAGAGCTCCACCTCTAGGCCACCGGAGCTTGCCTAAACATACATTATTGTACTGATTGCTAACTGGGGAATTCTGGAAGTCCGCACCTCTTAAAACTTCTGCGGTTGACAGAACACTAGTCTACACCCCTCTTTCCTTGCAGAATAAAACTTTTAAATCCCAACAGACTCCCACGTGAGGGAATCCTTGCATCCTGCAATGAAGGCCGTTAATCCTCCACCCTCCTTTCCTTCCGCGTTTGTAATTCCTCAATAACCAGAACTCAGAAGTGTCTTAATAGATCGCCCGCCTCTCCGGCTTTTGATTGGCCGCGACACTGACATTGACGCGTCGCTCCGCCATTGGCAACGGAGTCTTTACCGGCCAATTCAGAGAGGCCATGTCAGAAAACACGCGAGCCAATGAAAACACGCCGTCTCCAGCGTCGAGCCGCTATTGGAAGCGCCGGAGCGGGTGCCCTGATTGGCCGTCATGCGGTTGAGGGACGGAGCGCAGGAGGCAGCTCTCCGGGTTTTCTCGTAGCGCCGCGGCGGAGTCGCTTTCGTCTTCAGCGGGATGGGTATTTTCTCGCGGGCTGGGCCACGGTGGTTCCTGCCACGGGCGGCGGTGGGGTTGCCGCTGTTCCTGTTGCTAGCGTCCATCAGCTTGGCTGCTGCCGGTCAGTACGAGCGTTTCCGGTGGGCCTTACTTTGTGGACGGGGGGCGAGTTTGCGAGGGGAGACCCTGATTAAGAGGGGGGTGGGGGGGGGAGAGGTGGGGGTGAAGCAGAAGGCCGAAAGCCAGTAGGGTTAAGAGAGGCGGCCAGTCGAGAACCGGGTCAACTGCGTTGGAATAAATAGTTGCTTTTAGTGGTCCTTTCTCCCCATCCTCCCAAAAAGGGTATATAATCATTGCAGATTAGCCTCTCTTTTAGCTTTTACGTTTAGCATTTGCAGCCCCTCCCTTCAGTACTATATCTAATCGGTTTTTTAAAAAATTCATATCTCTCCTTTGTCGTTTTTTTATAAGTAACTCAAGGCGGCGAACATCCAGTTAATCCAGGGCGGAGGAATAAATCTTCGTATGGGCCCCTTTGTGTTTAAAGGCACTTGCTCTGCAATTTATGTAAAGCTAAGACTTGGGGGGGTTACCCCAGAGCAGAAAAGATGTTCCCCCCAACACCTGTTGTAAGGTGTGGGGGGGGGACTTTTTGTAGAGCACAACGAGGAATGATCTGCTAAAGGAGGAGTGGAAAGGTTTGTTTATTAAGGGCTTTACTAAATGTTAAAGGTTTTGACTCCACCCCCCCATAACATACTGTACAAGTCTATAAATACCTAAACAAGTGCATAAATAATAGGTGTTTGGCACTTATTTGTTATATTTATATCCCATCTTTCTTATAAAAACTCAAGGCAGTGACTATGATTTCCTTTTGCCTGTGCAAGCTTGTAAATATGATCTATGTCTGCAGCTGAAGCCATTAATGCACATTAAAATGCACTGTACCAGACATGTTCTCATATTTTGCTGATAAGGTACACATTTGTCTTTTTGCATCAGAAAAGCCATTTCTTGATAACAATTCCCCCCCCCCCCAAGGAATACTAATTTATTGTAATATGTTACATTATCAAAATTTCAAAAGCTTCTACCAAATATTTACTGATTATTACATTATATTGTTACAAACTAAACTTAGAGAAATAGAGGAAAAGTGGGGGGGGGGAGAAATATATAAAGGAATGACTTCCAAACTTCATCACAATAATATGCAAATTTGATATCTCTTTGCCTTCCCATAAGGTTACAAACACAAAAAATTCCCACAAAAAGCTGTTTTAGTGTAATTATTTTCAAAGTAACAGGCACAATATTCCAAATTCGCCTAAACCCTTAATTTATTACTTTCTTAGATAAAAATCTATTACTTTTTCTGTTTATTTCCTATGTTTTAAGTTTTTTAATGTATGGTTAAATTTTCTTCTGTTCAAAAATGACTAACCTCATCAGGTAGTTTTTCAGTTCTCTAATAGCCTTAAGATAGTTAAATAAGCAGTCACTTCTGAAAGTGACTAGAAGGTGAGGTTAGCAAAGTCAGTGTCCTTTAAAAAACCCCATAGTGGCTGTGAGCATGATGGTTGAGCCTTTCCTCTCCTGGTACTCCAACCTGTGGGAGATTGCGATCCTGCTGTCATCTCATGAGGAGCATCCATCCTGTATTACATTGGGTAAAGCTCCTATCTTGTCCTTGATGATTCTTCAGTTATCTGTCTTTTTCAAAGACTGATTAGTTTGCCATACCTCCCAAAGCTTTTCCTTGATATTTCTCTACTCTAGAAATCTATATTCATTGTCTGGGTGGCCAGAATGCTCTGGAAAGCACAAGATGCCAGATGGTGATGCTTATTGTTTTGTGAAATATATGAGCTCATTTCTGCAGTGTGGAATAGGAAGGAGTTGAAATATATAAATGAATAAATGAAATTAGCAATGAAGTAAGCAATGAAGCAAATCAGCAGATAGGTTCATGGTATTAATGGACATCCACTGCCTCGAATGTCTGAGAAAGTTGTCATAATATGTAAAAAGAAAAGCAGTAGAGATGGATTTATATTATTATTCCCAAGAATGCCTGGAGAGAGGAATGGTACAAGGTACCTTCTTGTGGTCTGACCAATAGTGATCCCTCTACCAGATCTTCTGATTTTGTCCTGCATTGCTTTATCTGATCAAAATTGATCAGAATTAGATGTGATACTGGAAGAAGTGCCACAGCCCTGTATCAGTGGGAATGGAAAGATTCTTCTTGTTGCGATTGTGGTGCTGATACACATACTATTAAACTTATTGTGCAAGATTTCCCATGACATGTATTCTTTGGTTCCCTAGAACTTCATGAAGCAGCACCAGAGGCAATTGCCTGGATAGCTGAATTGGACATCCAATTAGGAAGCCACTGCCATATTCCCATATAACTTTTACTTATAATTACATGGATTCGGTATATATGATTACTTCTATTCTGCCTTGTTCCCATCGTACTTTAATAGCTGAGATTGTAAAGTCAGTTAACGGGTTTGACTAAGGGAATAAAGCGGATAATTCTACCATTAAAAATTAACTGCCCTAGTAAAATTTAATGTTTCAATCAAACTGTTGACTAATTTATCTCTTATTCATACCTAAAAACCAAGGTATTTAGGAATTTCTGCAAATAGGATTGGATTATTTCAAGATCATTGGCTCTACTTTTAAGTATAGGTCATTGCCAGCTTTATTAACATTGCCATGGAAAACATTTCTGGGCTCATGGATATACAGAACTAAAAAAATTCCTATTCCAGACTTACTAGGTTCCTGAACATTAGATTTACTTTAATGTTGGGGATATAATATTTTGTGGTATAGGAAACCATTGAAGCATCCTTCTGTTAAGTTATTGCCCTGCAGATTTCTAGATTTTAACTTCAGAATTGGCCATATTGCAGAATTTTTAAAAGTTTAAAAAGATCATTCCTCCCCACCACCCACCACCCCAAAATTAGATTTACCTCTTGCTTTTCCTTTCCTTCTGGAAGCTCAAGATGGCCCACCTAGGACTATTTTTATCATAATGGCCTTGTGGAGCAGGTTGAGAGATTGTATTCAGTTCAAAGTCAGAGTATTTCGTTGCTGGGAGTAGACTTGAATCCATCCTAGTCCAACATGTTTATCACCATTACCTGGGGAAACTTCTCTAAAGTTTGCTGAAAATTATATTAATATCATGGATCAATTGTTTTTATTTCTAAGGTTTTTTTCTGCAGTTAACTGAACATTATTTGCAATTTCTAGTTTGTTCCTGGATTAATATCCTACCAGATACTTTCTAAAAAATGTATTATAACTTTTTTTTGTTTGTGTGCTTTAATTTAGCTGATGGGTTTGTAGAAATTACTACAGGTGCCCTGTTTGAATGTCTCATTATCAGTAGTTTTACATATTTACCATGGACAAATAGAGGTGAGATAGTATACAATATATAGAAAGATTTTTTGCTTAGCTTTGGTTTTACACTAGTTTTTTTTATTACTTGTTGCACGTCACAAACTTTTGTGCATGAGAAAGAACATGTGATAGGTCACCTGGAGCAGAAGACTTGTTACAGTAACCAGTCACCTTGAGAGGTACTTGCTCAGTTGGTTATGGAGGAAATTAGCCCAATCAGAGCTTTCATTCAATATTAACATCCAGCAATGCAATTGAGAAGCCGAGATTAGGAAGAAACTCTCAGAGCAGAATAACTATGGTAGGAGAACCAAGTGGCATCAGTGAAAGGACAAGAGGAAGCCACTTGAAGCCATGTGACTAAATTGATCCGTTTGTAAATATCAGTAGATTGCACATAAAATCACTGTTGAAGAATTTCTAACAAAAAGAAGAGAATGGAATAGGCTTTGGATATAATATTCCAAGACTCAAAGTCTTGTAAATTGCAGTGTTATTGACTACTTTTATGTTGGAATGGAACCATTCTGAATAACAAGAGTCACATCTTTGGCAAACTCTGAGTTTTCATATTAGAAAAACAATTCAGTTAATTGATATGGAATTGTTAATAATCCTTATTTTTTCCTCATGGGAATCAATAATTAGCATGTGCCTGTGTTTTTAGTATACACTCAGCGTAAGCTTTTAAAAAACCAAACCTGAATATTTACCCCAACAGGGTTTCTGATTTTTAAAATCTACTTATTTTTTGTTGAGTCCTTGAAATACAATGAACCTAGGCTAAGACTTCTCTGCTGGCATTTTTTTCTACAAAATCTTTACCAGCTGAAAAGGAAAAGACAGCTAAACAAACAGAACCTGTTTTCCTTATGATACATTGCTTTGGAAAGAACATCTTATCTGCTGACAGTCAACAATGTGTTTGCCTGCAACTTAATATAGAGCTTGTTCCTTCAGAGAGATGTTAACATGATGCAATGAGAATGAAATACAGCCAATTTGCTTCACTTTAAAGATACAAATCATTTCAATACATTTATTGGTTTGATAGTTTAATGGGTTTAGATTAAAATAGTATATTTCACACATAATACTAAGGTAAACAGACACCTTGTGATTTATCGGGATCACTAAAATATTAGTATCTGCTTTTTATTTGAATTGTTTTCAAGTATCACCGTCTTTGATACTGATTACAATGATTTTCTCATTACAGATGCTAAATATGCTGCTTTTTCTGAATAAATCAAGTTAGAGTCTATATTACTAGGCTGGAAATTTTATGAAACATTAGTTCTTAAAGAGTGATTTCTAATCTATTTTCTGTATTACAACATTGCTCAAAATTTATTATAGATTTTTTTTCTTTTATTTATAAACTTTGCTGTGTGAAGCTCCAATTAGAACAGTGGCCCCCAACCTTTTTTGAACCAGGGACCGGTTTTACGATTATTCTTCCATGGACTGGTACCTTCTACTACTAGTCCCTAAAGCAGCGTGGAGCTGCTTTAGCCTGGCTTCTCTCTCCCTTCTCAGTCTCTCTCACCTTCCTCAGTGACCCGTCGCCCTTCTTCTTTCCAGCCTCGGGCAAAAAAAAAAAAAAGACTTGGCATAGCTGGCTAGAAAGCACACCCGAATTCCTCGCAGCTTCCCGCCTCCGCCTGCGAGGAAGTGGGCGGCAGGGGGGGGCGAGGGGTGCAAGCGTGGGCCGGGAAGCGGGACTGGTCAGGGAATGACCTTCCCCGGGAAAGTCGGAGGCGCAGCCGCCACCGCCGCAGCTACTGCTGCTTCTTTGCGCTCTAGCGACGGACGTCGTGGCGCTCCTTCAGCGCCTGTGCTCAATCTGTTTCTCCGGGTCGTGGTGCAGCAGCAACAGCAACAGCTTTATCTGCGCGCATGCGTGTGTGTGGTTGACGGAGAAGGAGAGGAAAAGGGAGACTAGTGCTGGGCATACCGTAGCGCTCTTTTCTCCCTCTCTCCCCCTCGCGGCGCCCAAGCTTTGCGGCCTGGTAAAAAATGATCCATGGACCGGTACCGGTCCGGGGACCGGTGGTTGGGGACCCCTGAATTAGAAGACCTCCTGTCTCTGCTCCATTCAGTTCCTTATTTTTGGCTCTTTCCATGTATCACTATTTTATTTTCTTATATTCTGTTTCGTCTAAAGCATTTTTCCCTCCTGCCTAAGGATTCTAGCTGATCTAAATTTTTTAAAATAGACATACTGTAAATAGAAATAAATATCAGTCACATTGTTATTGCAATGTGTCAGTGCTTGATGACTATTCAAAATAAAGAAGTAAACTCGCAT